TGTTGTTGCATGCCTTCAAACCGGTTTAAATGTAAATGGGAATGAGCCCCATAACTCCTGGAGGGCTAAAGGCACTTCAAACTAAGAAAATTCATACTCCTAATGGTTGTACATGAGTCTGTTACCAAAATCGAGATAAGAGTTTGAATGAGTCATTTCTTGTTGCTGTTGTGTGCCTTCAAGTCATTTGTGACTTACGGAGACCCTAAGGTGAGCCTATCATGGGGTTTTCTTGGCAAGATTTGTTCAGAGGAGGTTTGCCATTGTCTTCCCCTGAGGCTGAGAGAGTGTGACTTGCCCAGGATCACCCAGTGGGTTTCATGGCTGAGCTGGGATTTGAACACTTTTCTGTACTGCCTTCAAGCCAGACGTCACTCATCTGTATCTGTGCATTTCATCTGTACCACCTAAGTGTAGTATTCTACATTTCTCCCTATTATAAATAATTCTGTTAGTTTTGGCCCAGCTTTCTAATCTGTTAAGGTCATTAAACATTGGTTTGGGCTACTTTGGCTTCAGATTGGTCCAGGAATAAAGAAAGCTGGTAATCTCACAGCGGTGCTCCTTGCTGGCAACAGTGGTTCTTGTAGATGTCTTCTATAGAACCTACAGAACTCCATTTCCAGCAATTCCTTCTCCATTGAGAATGAGCAAAATTGTGGATGACGCATAACGTGCACATTTCTGCAAGAAAATACTTAAAGGTTGACTCAGCTGTTTTGTTGATAACTCACAGCTACTTTTTTGGGCTTGTTTTCTGTTACTAGGTTTCTTTCTTTTGCATATTTTCTGCCCTTTCCTCCTGTAGCAGATCTCTCTTTGTCTCTCCTGCTTGTTGTATTAGTCAGTGTTTCGCTTGAACTTGTCAGTGAATAAAGAAGGTTGAGAAAGGATATTAAGGATAGTTTTATTAATATGGATAATATAAATTAGATATGACTTAGATATGACTCCACAAATAGAATCAGAGATACATACACACCAAGTTTAATCGGAGACCTCAACAAGAAATGTCAGTGCAGGTAATGCTGAGATGAACAAAGGCAAAACTGTAAATTTATGGCTAAGGTGAGATTTAATTTTAGTCTCCTCCTATTAGGCTCAGGAGTAATCTTGCTGGATCCTACTCGTAATGGAGAAATCTCTATTGCAGTGGGACTTTGGTATTCACTGGGGTTTGGTTCCAAGATCACCTGTGGACACCAAAATCCGTGGATGCTCAAGTCTCAATAAATACAATGAATAGTAATAAAATGATGCTCCTTATAGAAAATGAGTACATCAAGTTTGGCTTTCTGGAATTTATATATTTTTGAACATTTTCAAGCCGTGGATGCTTGAATTGGTGGATAAAGAATCCGTGGATACTGAGGGCTGACTGTGCTATATTTTAGGGATGCTGGAGAAGAGTGCTGGGGATATCATGGATGGGCAAAAAATGCAAACAAATCGGTCCCAGAACAGATCAAGCCTGAACTTTCTTTGGAAGCATAGATGATGAAACTGAAGCTGTCGTACTTTGGCCACATCATGAAAAGACACAATTTTTTTTTAGAATAGACAATAATGAGAGAGGTAGTTATGAGAATGAAGAAGGGAGATGAGGAAGAGACAGAAAGAGAAAGAGAATGGGAAGAAATAAGAGTAGGTGATAGATAGAGAGACAGAGAAGGAGGTAGGAGAAGGAGTGTATATAGAAAGGGAAGGTGAAAGGAATGAAATAGGGAAGAGAAGAAGGGAAATGGGTATGATGTGAAGGGATAAAAGTAATGCTAAATTGGAGAAATTTAATGTCAAGCAAGATATAGAGACATAATAAAGAGGATAAGGAGAACTATAAAGGTAACAACATAATAATATATCTTTACAAAATTAATATTTACTACTCTGTAGAGAAAAAGGAAGATTTGTATGTAAAAATATTTGTTAATCCTTTATGTTTACATTAGCTTGATAATGGTAAAAAAGGTAAAAAAAAAGAAAAAGAAGAGACAATAATGCTAGGAAAAGTAGAAGGTAATAGAAAGAGAGGGAGACTGCTTGTCAGATGGATGGACTCAGTTAGGGAGGTCACTGGCCTGAGCCTGAAGGACCTAAATAGGAAGGAGAGGAATGGAGATGTCTCATTTACAGGGTTACCTTGCTATGAGTTGAGACAGATAACAATATTTTAGGGCTCAATACATTTGTAGCATTATTCCTGCAAAAATATGTGTGTGCAAATTCCACTCGGTATTTTCTCAGCATGACACCAATATAAATAACTGACCAAGCAGTTGTTTGCATACCATAGGAACTTACTAATCTGAAATGTTCATTTGTAGTCATCCTCTGGCAATCATTCAGTTAGGGATTCCCATATGTGTACTGGTACACATGGAAGTGCTGCTAATGTATTGCCCGATAGAAGAGAAGTAAAGTAATAAACTGTACAATCCTATACATACATTTTTCTTCCTCCTTCATAATCCCTTTTCCTTGTCCTTTTGTGTTTTTTAGACGGTTAACCTGCAGGCAGGGACTGTTTCATTTCTGATATTTAGTACTCTCTCTGGGAGCCTTTATGATTGAAGTAAAAATAAATGAATTAAATAAATGCCTATACAAAAGTAAGTCCTGCTAAGTTCAGAGGGTGCATCCACACTGTCAAAATAATCAAGTTTGACACCACTTTAACTGCCATGGCTCAATGCTATGGAATTCTGGCAATTGTAATTTGTTGTGGTACCCAAACTGGATTATTTCTGCAGTGTGGATGCAGCCCAAGAGTTTGGCCTGCACAGCTAAGAACCTTGGATGCAGAAAATTATGAAAAGATTTGGTGGGATCAAATCACAGAAAAGAAGCTCCCTTCTTTGTATAACTGTACCTGAAGGGCACCTCTGCAAAAGTCGTGAAGGAGGCAAGGGCAATGGTTGGTTAGTGGCCATACTTCCCTAAGCTACTTCAGGGTAACTGGAGAAAAATGGCAAGAAACCC